AAGTCCACGTAGTATTGTGTCCAACATACTTATTAGATAGTGATTAACAGAACTGCCTTTGATGTACCAAACTGCTGAGTATCAATATTGTGTTTCATATCGTCCATTACCCATTCTGCTAAGAAACCTTCAAAGATGCGAGCTAAAATTGGAGTTATAGAGATAGGTCTAAAACTTGCAAAATCTTTTGCTCGCTTTACTTTGGGGACAGGGGTCATGGATGCTATTTTCCACAAATTCGGAAAAGTTCCCTGAATTAGACAGGAGTTGAAGATAATAGTCAGCGGCTCTGCTATCTCAAATGCAAATTCTTTAATGAGTCTTATAGGAAGGTCACTCGGGTGGCCAGCTTTAGATGTATTGAGACGACGAAGTTGAGTGTACACCTCGTTTCTGGTGATGGTTGGTGGCGGTAACACAGGTAAATATGTAGGTAACTTTGTGATATCCAGGGCTGGTAATTGCGAGCAAATTTTTGCAAAGTGTAAATTTAATTCTTCAGCGAGAATACTTGGTTCTTTATTCATTTGATGTAACAATGGAGGTTTTTTTTTTTTTACTCCGGTTAGCAATCTAACCTGTTGATGCCATTTTCCTGGTTCAGTTCGTCTAAGATTTTTTATCTTTCTTCTATACATTTGTTTTTTGGCCGTACAGATTTCTTTTTGAATCTTATTTCGAATTTCCTTAAAAGCATATGATTTACCATTAACTTTAAATTCAGCCTCACGCTGCTCTATTAATCTTCTAATGGTGCTGTTGATACATGGTTTATCTTTAGGTTTTTGAATAATTGTAACTTCAGTGAAGTGTTGTTTATAATGCGAAATTAATGATTCTTGAAATAACAAAAGCTTGTTCTCTGCATCTGGTTCAGAATAAATTAGAGACCAATCCTCTTGGGTGATCCATTGTCCAAAAGATCTAATAGAGGAGTCACGAGGAGGTCGGTAGACCAACCTTTTTGGTAAAGGAGGTTGATGTTGATTTAATGGTTTGGCATAAACAAGATGGTGGTCACAATTTGCGATTGAGGCACATATTTTGGGTGTGTCATATTTATCAGGAATACTTGTAAATATTTTGTCCAAAATAGAATTACTTCTAGTTGGAGTTGTCACTATTTGCGTCAATTGACATTGGTCTGTAAAGGGTTGAGTGTCCATATCATTGAAATCACCAAGTATAATATGCTCAGCATTATTATAGCATGTTCGTAACTCATCGATAGTATTAACAATGAATTCACAGAGACTGGATCTAAACTGAATTTGAGGTGGAGAATAGACAGCAGATACATAAATATCACTAATAAGTTGGATTGATGTAGATGATTGTAACTTAATTGTCATTACCTCATACTCGTCAGGAGTTGCTTCGCTAGTAATATCAAACGCTCTAAAGTCATCGCGAACCTAAATACAAATACCACCTCCATGTCTAAGATGGCGATCTCTGTGGAATAGCTGATATCCTGGTAAGTCACAAGCACCTGCTGGTTTATTGTCACTAAACCATGTCTCCGTGATGACAATTAAATGGACATTTTTGTAGTTTGTTTCAATTGTAGCAGAAAAATCGTCAAACTTGTTGTTTAAGGAGCGAGCATTTTGTAAGATTATCGAAGGTACAACAGGTTCACGGGTTTTCCTAATAATGTAGTGCAGTGTAGGCCTAGGCCTACATGTTTTGTCAGCTATCTTACAACAACTACGAGCCTTCCCTGTTCGCCGTCCACAAATAACTTCTATTGTACGTTTCAATTTTCTGCCCCCTCTACTTCCTCTTTGGCGTTTGCGAAGTTCAGGTATAATTGCAAGTTGACTGAAGAATTGCGGGGAGTGAAAATATTGCTTACCAGAATTGAGAGAAAGTAGTTTTTGACGCGTGTATTTCAATGTCATTGTTGCAGCGTTGACAAATTCCACAGGGCAAGGTGGTGGTGACGTTCAACGTGACCAAGGCTTGAATTCAGGTTAGCATGTGTCCAGCAAAAATGTACGTTAAAATTCGTAGTAATAGTAATCAATTAACCAAAATGACATCAAATAGACACAAACAAAATTCACAAATTCAGGACCAGACAACGAAAAAAAAAGCAAAAATGACACGCAGGTCTCTCAGAAATTTTAAGTTCCTACTGCAGCTGCAGAGCGCCCTCAAAAAAAAAAGGAGGGAGGCATTTATTTCAAATGTGGCTCTAGAGGGGCGTCAATTTGAGGGGCA